ATTTGGGTATCGATGGTAGAATTGGAGTACCGGGTCCAACTGGCCGGTATTAGTAAAACCGCTGGAAGCCCTTAGTCTTCTCTACTGCTCTCTTATGACTCCCCATCGAGACTCGAGAGTGAGCAGCATGCTGCCTTCCACCTCATCCATCCCCGTAGCTGCCACGTCTGAGTTCAATTCTGAATGCTCCTATGCAGCCGATGCTGGAGGATCTACTCCAAACGTCGATGATGCCTCATTCTCCACCAAACCTGGGGAAAGCAATACAGAGGAACCATATTTGCATTGTTGGAGATGAGAAGACCAAGAAATTCAGGTGCATGTTGCCTTACGCCTGCTCAGAATCCATCTCGTTGCTGCCGCGCCCGAGATTTACTCTTGCCTGCTCCCAATGCCGCCAATGTTGAGGGATTTCTCACGATGTTCCCGATGCCTCATCCTCCATCAAACAATAGGAAAGCAAGAAATGAGCTCTGTTTGGTGAAGACGAGAGGAGTAAGAAATTTCTCCGACGGAGAATCCAATTTGTGGAGAAGAGATTTTCAGAGTTGTGTTTGTGGAACAGATATGAGCTATGAGCTGTAGAGTATGAAGATGAGTCTCTCTCTGTTTTTTTATGATTTTCTGGTTTTTAAGGTGGGGTCACTGGTTTTGTTTGTACTTTGTTATTCAAGAAGGTTGCTTGGTATTAGGAGGGATAGAGACAGATGATGATTCATGATAAATATTTTTGGGGAGAATTGGGTTAGAGGGAGGTGGAGCGGCGAGGAAGGGGAGATAGAGAGAGGGAATTGGGAGGTGAGATGGGGTTCGTTTGTTACGTTTAGATTTATTTTTATATTTAATTATTAATTAATACATATAATTCCTGCCCACTAGAACTCCCCTTTGGTCAGATGGAACTCAGGGGAACTCAGGGAAAATCAGGGAAACAGAGAGCAACTCTGAGTGCTACGAGGACATCGACGTCCAAGAATTCACTATGGCGGAACCAACTAATACCACCGAGCTGCTGAAAACGATAATGGCGCAACTAACGCAACATTCCAGGTCCAGTTCGACAATATCAACCACCAATTGGCAGAGTTGAAGGCGACAACAACAGAGCCAAAATCTCCAAAGTCGACGACGAAACACGAGACAATCCTTGATGAAGATGAAGAGAAAAGCCCTCAGGTACTCACCGAGCGAATTAGAAACTTGGAACGGCAGCTGGATCTCGTGGGCACCCACCATCGCGATCCAAATCACGAATTCTGTGATAACGATCGACGTCCACCTGAAACAGGGGGTGTCAGTGAACTAAAGGGTAATCTTATTCTTTGATTGTCACAACAATCCTGAGGAGCAGAAGGTTACGCTTGCTTCATATGAATTTGGCGGGTACGCAGCTGCTTGGTGGGAGCAGGTACGTATTAAGCGAAGACGAATTGGTCCTCTCCCGTTGTTACTTGGTTGGAGATGAGAAGTTTGATGAGGGAAAGGTTCGTACCCTCGTATTATCAGCGTGATCTCCACGACACACTGCAATCACTTCAGCAGGGAAGCATAAGCGCCGAGGAATACTACAGGGAGTTGGATCTTCTTATGATCCGAGCCGATATTCGAGAGGACAAAGAAGCCACCATCAGTCAATATTTACAGGTCCTTAATCGAGAAGTTAAAAATCAGGTGGAACTATTCCCATTTTTGGACATTGAAGACGTTGTACAGCTGGCGGTGAAGGTCGAGAAGCAGTTGAAGCAAGGTTCCAGCAGGCGCTTTACTCCAGCAAGCAGACCAGTCCCTAAACCTGACTTCAAAACAAAATTGCCCAACAAACCTGCGAGGCAAACTCCGCCAGCAACCCAAGATCGGCAAGGAACTTCTAGTGGCAGTATTAGATGCTTCAAATGCCACGACTATGGCCAGAAATCACACCAATGCGCCAATTAGAAGGTTTTGGTACTCCGAGATGGTCAGTACTACTCTGAAGATGAGGAGGAGACCGAGGATAAGACTGCTGGCGACTTTGAGGGAGAAGAGATGGCGGCAAGCAGGGGGCCATTGTTTGTAGTTCAACGAGCATTGGCAAGTCAGGAGGAGGATTCCTCTGAGATGGATCAAAGGAGTAATCTATTTCACACTAGATGCCAGGTTCAAGGAAAAAATTTGATAGTGATTATTGATGGGGGAAGTTGTGCGAATGTGGCCAATCTTGATGTCATTAAAAGACTCGGTTTAGCTACAATTCCCAGGGCAGAACCATATTCCCTTCATTGGCTTAGTGGCCACGCTGCAATTAAAGTAAACAAGCAAGTAAGAATCCCTTTCTCGATCGACAATTATCGCGATGAATTGCCATTCGACATTATACCGATGCAGGCAGCCCACTTGGTCTTGGGAAGACCGTGGCAATTCGATCGAAAGGCGTCCCATCACGGTCGAACGAAATCTATACCTTCGAGCACGTAGGCAGGAAGATGATTCTCAAAACATTGACGCCGGACGATGTTCGAGAAGATCAACGTCACATGCCATCGAAGCGGGACAGGAGGGGAATGGAATCTGGCTCTGCCGCATCAGTACGAGTAAATGAGAAGCTAGCTCCAACACGTTGGAAATTCGCCCAACAACGTGTAAAACTGGCAAGAAGTGAAGAATCAAACTGCCTCGACGAATTCCAAATTCGAAATTTTGCCTCCACACAAGACGGCCAACGAACAAATTTGGTTGAATCGATTGAGGAGTTCGGGCACGAATCGTATCAATCCATTACTTGGGATCCACTTCTGGGGTCTCAGGGAACGTGTTGGAATCAGAAAATTGGATCTACGAGGGCTGTGGAAGAAACACCCAATTTTCAACTCGCCTTGCCGGATTCTAGAGACTCGTCGCCGGAAACTGGGAATTTCGAATTCTGTGGTGGCGGAAAAAATTCGAGACTCGATTCCAAGTGGCTTGAGCAACCCCAACGCAAGAGGGTGGCTGAGTTTGCTTTGTGGGAGCTAACAGGACTGAATTTGAGCAAGGAATCGTTCGGCGAAGTCGTTAAACGGAAAGCCTAATTTCTAAGGGTTCACCGGCAAATCGGGTCTTGCCGGAAAATGAAGTTATGAAATTGACTTTTACGATCCCGTTTGGGAAAATTTTCTCTATCGTTATGACTGCAGGATGAAGCTTTTTAAAGAAGGGGGGCCTGATATGATCTCAATTCCACCCTCGTATCAACTCAAACACATCGTTCAATGATCTGGTCAAGTTAATACGAACAAGGCTGGAAATTTCCTAAGTGTTGAGACAGTTTTGGGAAGGGTACTTTGGAGGGATGTTTCTCTCAAACCATTCAATGGAAAATGCAAGGTTAGGGTCTTATTTTGAAAATTGGATGTTTGTCGATAGTTTGATGCATTTGGATCGTGGAAAAAAGGTCAGGAGGGTTGTTTTTTAAGGCCATCAAAAACCTATCCTACATTCTGGAAATTGCCAGTTTTTGGCTAAGGCAGGGAGAGAGTTTGAGGTACCGAAGCTTGAATTCACGACGTTTGGAGCATGACCAGCTGGAGCTTGGAGTTGGGAATGAAAGAGTAAAACTTTCTCAACCAAGGGAAGGAATTGGTTGAGCTCGACTCAACCCAGAAGGTCGATTTCCAAAGCCACGAAGTTGACATCAAGGGCTGTTTTTGGGCAGTTGGCTTGTGAGAGAAGTTAGTTACTTGGGAATTGGGATGCAAGTTTACTTGTTATCAACGTTTTCTTTTGCTTGTTTGATTCATAATTGTTTCCTTGTTTGTTTTGGATTGTAATTAGGTTTCTTTGGTTATAAATAACCACACTTTGAGTTGTAAAGGACACGTTGAAGTTTAATCGAATTACTCCGAGGAGTTTTCCAGCTTGCGAGCTTTTGGTTCTTGGTTGTTTGGCCGAGAATTGCAGACCTACAGATCAGGATATTCACCCTTGATCTCATGGTAGTTCTACCTAGATTAGCCTCTTCCCTTTTTGTGTTGAAGTTGTTGATTTAGTTTGTTTGGTTCCATCGATTTTCCTCTCAAAAGTCATTCATCATTGTTTTATCGTTGCGTTATTCTGAGTTCAGCCAATCGAAGCCTTATCATAGATCCCTAACTAATACTTTGTAATTACTTGTTTGGATTGAATGATTGTCATTGGGTATTGTTTAATTCAAAGATTGAGGTATTATTCATGTTGATTGTGCATGCTTGTGCTTAGCAACCTAAGGATTGTGCATGTTTATGCTTAACAATCTAATTAGCCACTTAACCTAGATTAGAAAGGGAAACCCTCCCAAGGGAGTCTCAATCGAGTGGTATCCCTAGGGCTTTTTAAGTCTCTTAACTAGGTTAATTTAGGGCAAACCTCAATATTGGATTAGAGACCCTTGACTCAAGTTTGCATCTAGGTTGGTTGTGACTAAGCCGCTCAAACTCCGGTTTGAGGGAAGGACCTAGTCAACCACTAGAGACTGAGTGAGAGGATCGATTTCGTGTCAAATCGATCTCTAGTGAATCTATCCAGTGACAAATGGATCACTAGCTACTCCTCCAAGTGGTTCTCCTAGACTTGGTGAGTGGATCGATCACGTGACAAATCGATCGCTAGTGATTTGATTTCGTGACAAATCGATCACTAGTTGCTCACCCCCGCAGTTCACAACCACCTACGCTACACGACTCCATTCAATCCAACGAGTTATGGTAACTATGCTTGTTTTGTATGTAGTTTTCTTAGTTTGGAAACCCAAAAGTTTCTTGCTAGATAACAATCTAAGCGATTGAAGTAGGGGTACATGGACCGGCCCGAGTCGATATTTAAATATTTGGGTATCGACGGTAGAATTGGAGTACCGGGTCCAACTGGCTGGTATTAGTAAAACCGCTGGAAGCCCTTAGTCATCTCTAATGCTCTCTTATGACTCCCCATCGAGACTCGAGAGTGAGCGTCATGCTGCCTTCCACCTCATCCATCCCCGTAGCTGCGGCGTCTGAGTGCAATTCTGAATGCTCCTACGCAGCCGATTTTGGAGGATCTACTCGAAACGTCGCCGATGCCTCATCCTCCACCAAACCTGGGGAAAGCAATACAGAGGAAACATATTGGCATTGTTGGAGATGAGAAGAGCAAGAAATTCATGTGCATGTTTCCTTACGCCTGCTCAGAATCCATCTCGTTGCTGCTGCGCCCGAGATTTATTCCTGCCTGCTCCCAATGCCGCCGATGTTGAGGGATTTCTCACGATGTCCCCGATGCCTCATCCTCAATCAAACAAGAGGAAACCAAGAAATGAGCTCTGTTTGGTGAAGATGAGAGGAGAAAGAAATTTCTCCGACATTGAATCCAATTTGTGGAGAAGAGATTTTCAAAGTTGTGTTTGTGGAACAGATATGACCTATGAGTTCTAGAGTATGAAGATGAGTCTCTCTCTGTTTTTTATGATTTTCTGGTTTTTAAGTTGGGGGTCACTGGTTTTGTTTGTACTTTGTTATTCAAGAAGGTTACTTGGTATTGGGAGGGATAGAGACAGATGATGATTCATGATAAATATTTTTGGGGAGAATTGGGTTAGAGGGAGGTGGAGCGGCGAGGAAGGGGAGACAGAGAGAGGAAATTGAGAGGTGAGATGGGGTTCGTTTCTTACGTTTAGATTTAATTTTAGATTTAATTATTAATTAATACATATACTAAAGGTAATTATGTAATAATGAAAAGTAAAATATAAATCAGCCATCAAATTTTTCATTCTTAAGATTCAGTGTATATATTTTTCCAAGTGTATAATTGTTATGTTGCACGTTTCATGACTATTATAGGTATTTAATATTTTATAATTTGTTATCCAGTATTTTCTGGTTTATTTTGGTATTACTCCGAATCGGTACTATGACTTTGTCGGTACAGTATTTTTATAAATAATATATTTTTTATTCAAAAAATGGTATTTACCGGTTCTGAATGTTTGAACCATGGTCGTACCATAAAATACCCTACCACATACAAAACCGGTATGACCTCCGGTACGGTTTCAAAATCCATGGTTTTAATGCCGTATTTGTATGTTATTATTCTAGTTGTATTTTTTTTATTGTGTATTTTACTGCACTTCTTTGTGTCTTGGTGATGACACTATCGTCAATTTAGTTGTTGTAATTTAATGTTGTAGTCCTGTGATGACAAACACTAGTCAAACATCGGATCCAAACATAAGTCAAAAACATCTTATCCAAAGAAAAATACTACACATCCTCGAGGAATATGTGCATAATACTAAACATAAATAGTCAGACATCCATAAGGATTGTCATATCACATAATCTAAAGTCCAACATGACCAATAAAGGAAAAAACAGTAAACGATCTATACTAAACAATGGGGAGGGGGAGTCCTTGAACCACCCAGTACTCGGTCCATACATCCGGAACTCTGTGCAGTACCCTGTATACACCTCGTTGATGCTCAGGCCACTCCTCCTCAGTCCTCGCAGCAGCACGAACCGCAGGTGCAAAAGTGTCATAAGGTCACGAGCACGCTGCAACATCAAAAAACAAACACAATTGTTAGTTTCACACATAGTTTACTTATATTGCACCAAATTGAAACATTCAAGACGCAAATCTTACCACTGCGGAGTTAACAAAATCTGGATCACCATCATCAGGGAGGCACTACGGTGTGAGTGGGCATTGAACCAGTCAAGATAGTCGGGCGACGTCTCGTATGGAAACGTCCTCCATGGCTGAGAGTACATGTCTATGTGAACCATGTGGGACAGCAGGGCATCCTATGCTGCATTGAAACTCTTAGGAATGTGAATCACATATCCTGCAGGTGTCGCTAGTCGATCTTCTCGTTGTGGCCTCGAAGGTGAAGGCAGTATAATATGTCGTATCCAAACTGTCGGAGCCAACGGGCTCGATCATAGAACTCGCCTATGCACTACCAAATGAGGTTGCTGATGGAAAGGTCTCCAACACACCTCGGTAGTGGTCAAGCTGTGAAGAGCTCGACAGTAGTACGCCAACCTTACATTAGGATCAATCGGAGTACATGGTGTCGGCAACCCAATCCATCGTGAAGCCCAAGACTCATCTTGTCCACAAAGGACTGACTCAAAGTGCGATGTCCTAATAATCGGAAAGTACTTATTACACCCCCCTCTTCCAAAAAGTCAAAATGACTATTATAACCTTGGGGAAATTTGTCAAATTCCATCGTAATATCCATGAGGACTAAAATGCAAACTCTCGATTCAAACGATGTTGAGTTTCGACATAAATCGAGTAAGTTACGTACGTTAGTTGAGTTTCGGTTTAAACTCACCCGTAATATATGAAATGCGCAAAATACCCCTCGAGTTAATTAAACCCCAACCCTAATCTCACGTTCCACTCGGCAACACTCAAACTAATTAAAACCCTCGCAGCCTTTCACCTCTCCACCGAACCCTAATCTCACGGTCAAACTAATTAAAACACTCGCAACCTTTCACCTCTCCACCGAAAGCAAGTGACTCGGGAAATTAAAAGCAAAGCGGCGCATCGTCCAGTGGAGGCCTGAGCATATCGTTCCCTCTAATGCGAGACTGCTTGTTTAAGCAAGCTCGTCCCCTTGTTATGGCTATCGTTGCCCTGCCATGTGAACGATGGGGGAAGATAGCAAGCGTGAGGTGGCTTGCTTTCGGGAAATCAAGGCAAAAGCAAGGCAGCTTGATTATTGCTATCTATGCTGCTGGCGAAGGCAAACCAAGGAGAAGAAGCCAACGGGGGTGGAACACTCGATGCGGAGGACACCGTCATTGTGCGGCAGGCACCCCTCTCCTACTGTGAGAGCAGCTTGCTTCCTCTCTTACTATGAGAGCAGCTTGCTTAAGCAAACTAATCCATTAATTCAACCACATGTGCAACTTGCTCCACGATAATGACCAAAGCAAGCAGGTCCATCTTTGGTCCATTTAATTCCAATTGTGCCAAGTAAGCTGCTCCTCCCAATTGTGCCAAGTACGACTGTAATAAGTTGGAAGCGAGTGGAGCAAAATAAGAGCCAGTTCCGAACGGAAGTAAGGTGAGTGTAAAGGGGGTAAATTCTACGCCTTACGGATGTAACAATGAAAACCAAAGGATAAAGAAAATACGAAAAGTATAAAAAATGACGAAAAATACCTTATAAAGAATATAGAAAAATAAGTATAGAAATCCTAATAAATATTTCAGAAATAGAAAACAATATAAACAAAAAACAAGAAATAAAGATTGTCCTAAAGGCAAACCAAATTGTAGATGTTGGCTTTGTAATGAAGAAGGACATTATGCTAATAAATGTCCAAAGAGAAACGTTAATGATAAGAAACAAGAAGTGCTAAGAATAGCCTTCGATTGCGGATTTGAACCTATAGAGGAAACAGACTTTGAAACATCATATATAGATATAATTGAATACCATATAGACTTAGAGGTATCTTCAGATGAGTCAGAAGAAGATACTAACTAAAAGTATTCCAAATGCAACATTTATAAAAAAGTCACTATTGACAACAAACATTTTCTAGCATATATAGATACAGGAGCAACACTTTGTGTTGCAAAAAGGGAAACCATTAGAAATTGGGAAAAATTAGACAAACCTCTAAAAATTGTAGTCGCAGATAAATCGATACACGAGATTTGGTATGTAAAAAATTATGTAACCCATCATTATAGAACAATACGTTTTTACTGCTAAAACGATATATTTACATGATTCAGGGTTAGATATGATAATAGGAAATAATTTTCTTAAGTTATATCAACCTTTTACCCAAAAAATTAAAAATATTAGTCTACGAGCACCCAGAATGAAAAATCAAGAGTCCAAAATCGTTACAACTAAAATTATAACAAAAATGAAGTATGGAAAATCGTTCTACAAAAATTAAAAAATAGGATTGAATATATCCAGGTAGCTTATGGAATAGTTGAAGAAAAACTAGATGAAGTATGTAGTGAACACCCATTAGATAGTATAAAAAATACAAATTCAGAATTAATAGAAATCAAACTTAAAGATCCAAATATAGAAGTTAATGTCCCCAATAAAATCCAATATACACAAAGAGATGTAGAAGAATTTCAAGAAGAATGTAAAGAGTTAATCAATAAAAATATCATTAGGGAAAGTAAGAGCCCTCATAGCTCCGGCGTTTTATGTAGAAAATAATAACGAGTTAAAAGATGAAAGAGACGTATGGTAATAAATTATAAAAAACTAAATGAACAAACAGTAGGAGATAGTTATAAACTACCTAGAAAAGACTATATATTAGAACGATTAAAGGGTCAAACGTGGTTTAGTAGTCTAGATGCTAAATCAGGATATTGACAATTACGTCTACACGAAAACACAAAGTCATTAACAGCTTTTTCATGTCCACCTCAAAAACACTATGAGTGGAATGTCGTACCATTCGGACTTAAACAGGCACCAGGAATTTATCAAAGATTTATGGATAAAAATTTAGAAGGATTACAAGACTTTTGCCTAGCATATATTGACGATATCATTATCTTCTCAAATAAAGATAGGAAAGATCATGAAGAAAAACTAATCAAAGTATTAGAAAGAATAAAAGAAAAAGGACTAATAATTTAAAAAAAAAAATCAAAACTACTAGTTAATGAAATTGAATATCTAGGACTAAAAATAAATGGTTTAATTGCAAGTTTGGTCACTATATTTACTAAAAAGGTTCATGTTTGGTCACTAAAAATATTTAATTTTATTCATGGTCACTAAAATTACTTTAACCATCCAAGTTTGATAACTGACCGTCCAAATCCATTAAATTTATCTGATGTGGCGGTCAACTCTTATAGTTAACGGTTAAATATATGACGTGTCAATTAAAAAATAATAAACAAATAATATTTTATCTCCTAAAATTTCCACATCACTATCAGAAGCTTAAAAAAATATCAAAATCAAGGAGGCAGGTGAGATGAGTTGGAGCCCTTCTTTGATCAAATTAAAACCTCACGGCAGCGGCAACGACACTCAAACCCTGCTTCGAAATCAAATGGAGAGATGACACATCCATGACTAAATGATTCGTCCCCTGCAATACAAGTCCACAAGTGGATCTCCAACAACCTCAAGCCCCCAACTTCCAATGGGTCTTTCCTAATACCAATCACCAAATAGTAACAGCGACGCCATCATTTTCCCAGCTAACGATTCAGAGCGATGAAAAAGAATCACTTCCTCTTGTTGCTATTCTGGAATGGAGCTCTCTGGTAGTGAAAAGTGAGTACGACTGGCGGAAACGTGACATTGACGAGAGATGAGGGGGATCTATGTGTGTTTCGTGGGTTTTGGATCTGTAAATTGTGGGTGGCTATGGCTAAGGGCTAGGTTACGAAATGGGAAAGTATCTCCTGTTGCCGACTGCCGACGAATCTTCAAGGAGGATGCCGAGAAAGACAGCGACTGCGGCGGATGATTTCTGCTAGGTTTTTTGGAAGGAACATTGACGATGGTGGTGACGAATTGGGTCTATATGTTCAGCTGATGGGATCTCGCCGCAAACCTCTCGCCTTCTTCCTCTTCTCACCAATAAACCTCCAAATCCTTCTTGCCGCCGCTTCATGCCTAGGGCACCGCTACTGATATGGCCACCGCTGTCGAGGTGGCTGTTGCGAATGCCAAAACCGCCGTCGAGCTCGTACACCTCACCGCCTCCAATAACCCTCACGGATTTTAGCTATGAGACAAGAATAGGGCTGCCATTGTTTGCGACGAGGTGGTAGTGAAGATTGAATTAGAAAATTGAATTAGAGATTTTGAAGATATTAGGGTTTTTTTAATAGTATGAGGTGGAAAATTATAAATATTAATTCAATTATTTTTAAATTATCGTGTCAGACACTTAACAATCAACTATGAAAGTTGACCGCCACATCAGATAAAGTTAACGAACTTGGACGGTCAGTGACTAAACTTGGATGGTTACACCAATTTTAGTGATCATGAATGGAATTAAATATTTTTAGTGACCAAACATGAACCTTTTTAGTAAACACAGTGACCAAACTTGCAATTAACCCAAAAATAAATAATACAAGCAAAATAGAATTAACAACAAATGTTAAAGAAAAACTAGATAAATTTCTCGATAAAATGGAAAATAGAAAACAAATACAAAGATTTTTAGGAAGTTTAAATTATATTAGCGAACAAGGATTTCTAAAAAACTTAGCAAAAGAACGAAAACACCTTCCGCATATCAGACAAAATTCCTTGGAAATGGGAAGATAAAGATACAGAAGTAGTAAAATCCATGAAGGCTAGTTGTGATCATTTACCTAAATTATATAACCCATGTGATCGCGATTTTCTCATAGTTGAAACAGATGCATCCAAGGATACATGGGCAGGTTGCATGCTCGCAATTCTCGAAGGAAAGAAATTACTATCTCTTGATCACTATGGCAATTTACTATCTAAAAATGATTCATCTACCAACCATGATCTTAAATTACTATCTAAAGAATCGAAAGATTCTATAGACTACTCAATACCTTTTAATACAGACAAGTATCCAAAAAAGTTATGTCAATATATTTCAAGAACATTCTCTGATACAGAGAAGAACTATCCAATTCATGATCTAGAAACACTAGCTTGTCTCAGGACATTGAAGAAATGGAAACTCGAATTGTTAACAAGTAGATTTGAGTTACGAAAAGACTCTAAATATGTTACAGGTTTCTGGAGATACAAACTTGAAGCAGACTTTAACAAAGGAAGATTAATCCGCTAGCAGCAACAGCTACACTATTACAAGCCATATCTGAAGTATATTAAGTCAACAGCAAACCCTCTGGCCGATACCCTTACAAGAGAATGGAGGGAATAATCAAGCAGATGCAGAATCAGCAACAACAAAAGGAAGAACAATTACGATCTCTTGAAACTCAGCTTTCTCTAAAGAGGGGGGAACTAGAACAGCTCAAAACCACCATCAACATTCTGCAACAACAAATCAATGGAAAAACTCAGCCAGAAATACAACAAGAGAAATCAGCATCATCATCCACAAAATGGGCCGATCTGGTAGAAGAAGATTACAAATATGAAGAGGATGAAAGAAAGTCAAAGAATGTTAAACATCAGTCATTTCAAGGAGTTTATACCAATTGGGCAATAGCTGCTCAGCATATTATCGGTCATAATGTTAAACATCAGTAATTCACAACAAAGGAGGAAGCAGATCAAGCACTTGACGAATCATACAAAGCTCTTACCATGAAGAAAACAAATGAGCTGGTCGTTCCACAACAACGACTAGTAATGAAGAGTCCTGGTATTAACATTAGGAATATCCAGACCACAAAGGAAAAAGAAGAAGCCAAAAAGCCTACAATACAGAAATTCCAACAATGTTGGAATGATCTTATCAACTATGAAGAAATACATACTACCATGGGTTTTTATCCAACATTCAAAGGAGGACCAAAAGCGGTAGTCACAGAAGAAGCCTCACCTGCAATGGTATTCGCTCTCCACCAATATGGATTATTGGATACCATTTACACCAGAAAAATTGACATCCTCGAAGAATTCCCCATTAAATTCAAGATGGTTGTTCAAAACTATCTGAAATTCTTTGCCAAAGACAGAGAAATCTATCTAAAGTATACATCCAGCTATCCAGTATTCAGCCAAGGAGAAATGATTATACCATCAAAAGTCCTCATCAGAATGGGAGTCTCGAACGGAAAATATCCAACAAGGGATGAATTGAAGACAACTAAAATACCAGAAGATCATCAGGTGAAATCATTATTCTCAGTATGCCAAGCAATCCATTACATCAACCCAACGGATAATATCAAGGTCAATTACAGAAGTGAACATAAGGTGATCATCAGCAACTCCAAGGCACAATTCACCAAGGAAGAATGGGATATAATTAAAAATTTTACAAAAGATTTCATCAATCTAGAAGGAACATTGGCCCCATTACCAATAGAACAGAAGAGACAACTGTGCAAATTATTGCAGCTCCACGAAGACCATATATGCATCAATTGTGCAACAAACATGATCACCACCACTAGCAGCAATAATGGAGAGGAATAGTCAGGGAATCAAGAATGACTCACCCCACTAAGAAAAAGAAAGAGAAGAAGACAAGGAATAGTCACTCCACTAAAAAAGATGAAAGCTCATACCATCACTTCTCTGAACAAATGTAACTACCTAGCTTTATAAAAGGTTGTTTGTTTGTTTTCTCGCCTGTTGGAAGGTGATGTAAGCTCTTACGTAGAAGCAGGCTAAGACCTGCTATAAATATGTATCATATTCCTCATAAGGAGGGCAGAGAATAAAGGAGCAGAGTTGAGACCTCTCTCAAAAACCAAGACTTCGTCTTGAGGTGCTTAGGCACTGAGTGTTTGAGGTAATACTCTGGAGACCCTCTTAACCCCTACCAAAAATACCACACAACAAAACCATCAGATATACAAAAAATTCCTAAACATAACTCCAACGATCATCTCCAGCATTCTTCACATATCATCTCCATGAAGATGCTAAGCAACAAGGAATCAAACCATTTCAACTAACAAGAATCAGGTATGTCTGACAACCCTAGTACTAGTAAAAATTATTTTGATTATTTAAACAAGAATGAAGAAGAAAATTATTTCTTAGATGGTATCGTAGATATCAAAAAAATAGAAGAGCAAACTAATTTTACTTTATCAGAAACCCAAAACTTCATTACTAAGTCATTTTTATCTAAATTATTTGATAGAAAAATATATTAAATTGGAAAGATGATAGGAGAAACAGTTATACCAATAGAACAGACCAAAGGAGATTTTCTAATCCAAATAATAAATAAGGAACAAATTAGAAAAAAGTTATCAAAACTACAACAGGAAGAACGAAATAAAATAGCTTATATTCATATTAGTACGATACAAATTATTTTTAAATCAACAATGAAAACAGGAATAAGTGCGCCAATAGAACTAGAAATTAGAGATGACAGACTCATTAACAATGAAGAATGCATAATAGAAAAAGGACAAGGAAATTTAGGAGTAGGAATAATTAAATTTGATATTAATTTACAACAAGGTTTAAGTCTAACATATGGAAATCTTGATTCCTCAATAATTATAAAATATGAACTAAAAAGTGACTAGTTTATGAGAGAAAATAGTAAACCATTTTCAGTAACATATCAAATAAACTACGCTTTGACCAATAGTCATCATAGTTTAACATTCAAAGATAAAGAAGTAATTACCATAGAAGATTTATTTAAACCACTAATACATTTAGAATCCCCTATAAAAATAATTAAATCAGATTATAGTAATCGAAAAAATGAGCATAGACGAACGACATCCCTCTAGAAGAATAACAAACAACTTAAAAGAAGAAGAACAAGAAGAAAAAGAAGAGATAAGAAATATTACAATACTTCATCAATATGACGACAATAGTGAAATAAAGAAACTACAAGAACTAATATTAGAATTAAAAGATAAGATATAAATACTATAATGCCTAATACTCACCATATAAATAAACTAATAGAAGGAATATACGCTATCGATCTTACTTCAATAAACGATATCACTATGGTTACACTAGAACTATCATACTTTGTCTCAGATATTATAGAAGAACAAATGAGTATCGGTACTACAGAAACATTAGAGGAAGCTGTTTCAAAAATCGAATTAATTACTGATATAATAACTAGTCTAACTAAAATAAAACAAAACCTAATGAATAATTAAAAATTAGTAATAATTAGTTAGGGAAACTGAAATCTATCTGCAAAACAAAAAATTATCAATTGAACCATATCACTATCTCCTTTCATAAGGAATATGACAAAAAACTAAAGAAAAGAAAAGCTACGTGAAAAACCATGCATATCACTTGTTTGGTATCAAATTCTTTGACAAGACTATTAAAATACTATATGAGGATATGTCAATTTGGAATCAAGATATATGCGGAAAACTTTGGTATCAGAGCCTCCAAAGCAAGCCCATGAAATGAAAGAGACTAATCCATTTAAATTAAAAAATATTAGCCAAACAGTAAATTACAAAAAAGTGCCCCAACAAGCTTCGCAAGCTCGCCTCGTTTGCAGCCCCACATACAAAGCACCCGATCGCACAAGAACATAGTTAGTCTTAATGGTCATCAGATTTATAGCTCTACGCCTCTACCAAGCTCCGCCATAGATCTTGGTTTTGTACGAAATCCTCTCCCACATATATATAATATATAGCATACCGCAATTAGTTAGAGAAATTGATTAAGTCGATCATATTTCCAACAGTCTACACAACAATTATAGGATCATGATGAACAACAACAAAATATCGACAACATATATAAACACGTCATGGAAATCTCAAAGAAGAGAAATCCAAAGAGTGATGTGTGTATATAGTTTAGATTAGTGTATGCAGGGTATGCTTGCTTTATCATACGTTCGTCTTAATTTTGTTATTTAGACCATGAATTAATTGGAGTTTTAGACATGATATTATATCATTTACTATATGCCTATGTCCTGATATGATCCCCAATGGTCCATTATGCACGCTTAATTTACTTGACGAAGAAGCTAACGAAGTTAGGAAGAAAAAGGGCAGAATTTGGCTAAGTCAAAATCCGTGTTCAAGGTACATACTTTGGAGGCATGGTTCTCTCAATTGGCTTGGTAGAAATTCAATTTTAAGGGTTTGTTTTACAGATAAAGTTACCATCTTTCCAAATTCCAATGGTATGCTTTGTAGATCCAGATGATGTCATTAAGGTTATTTTCCAAGGCCTCAATGTTGCTACCTCAAAACTGGAAAACTGCCAGAAAATGACTAAGGCAGAAAACTATTTTGTGAAGCCTACTTTGGAGATCAATTCAAGGAGCATGGATGGGATTCAAGTCAAAAGGCTTCCACATCGTGAAACTAGGTATGTTTGTGAACAAAGGGAAGGAATTAGATGAAGAATTGGAGTTTGGGAAGGCTTCGAACGAAAGGCGCGAAGTTAGTACGAAAGCTGCTTTTGGACTGTTGCTGGCAGCTTACTTACGCTTGAAGAAAGGGAGTTTAAACCCAAATTTTGTGTCATTTTTAGTGTAGAATTTTACCTTAATTGTTTCCTAGTTATACTATGATTGTATTAGGTTTTTATTTGCCTTTAAATACCGTTCTATTTACGTTGTAAAAACTAAGACTTTGTTGAATAGAAATCGAAACCGTTTGGTTTGTGCAAGTTGAGACTTGTTTTGGGTTTAGTGGATTCCAAACTTTCTGAGCTTGTGTATCGATTGAATATTCACTTCAATCGTGGTCGAGCAACTACCCTTTTATACCAATCGATCTATCCCCAGGTTTGGATTTGTCCTTTTGGTTCCGTTTTATCCAAGTTCGTATTAAGAACATTTCGTTCTTGATTCGAGTTCAATCGATTCTTCGATTGAATCATTAGCTGCATTACTTTGATCATATACCCCCAAGGGCGTATCATGTCCACACCTATTATTTGTATTTAGATAATTTCGACGAATTAGAACCGTTGATTTTCATTTTAAGATTAAATGAATATTATGGTTTGGGTTAGATAATTAGAGACTGTGGTTCACCCATTAGAGGTTAGGGTATATTATCAAGCCCATATATATATATAGATGGGAAGTTCTAGGTTGCCCAGGGAAAAATCCAGGGTACGGAAGACCGGGGGCAAGGAAAATTAGAAAAAGCATCACAAAGCGTTAAACCTTTTTTCATTGGACTTCAACCTAACTATACCCGGTTTATTGATATGGATTAAGAGATTAAACCCTATGGATACGACCCACCGCCGCCCTAACCAATTTCCAGTGTCCCTTCGACGATCCCTCATTCGTCTTGGAGGGGACGTCCCCTCTTAGTTCGAAGTTCGATCATAAGTTGCCTATGGAATATGAAATCTCCAACAAAATCATCGTTTCGAAACCCAAATCTTTTTATTATTTGATCCACATTCGATTTAGCTCCCTATCCAATCTCAAATCCCCAACATAATCATGTTTCATACCCCAAATCTATATATCCACATTCGAAGAGAAGATCCCCATCCAATCTGAAATCCTCACATAATCATCGTTTTGAACCCCAAATACTTGTATCCACAATCGACGTTTTGTTCTTCGCCATTTTATTTCCGGCTGGAATTTACTCACCTATCTTTTTCTAACACGATTACGGCGACCATGTCTATTATTGATTGATTGTATTAATCAAACTTTTCATTTGCAAAAGAACCCATGAAAGAGGTTTGCTAACCCTAGGGTTCATGTCGCTATCTTAGCATTATTGTCATTTGAAAAATTACTTCTATATCTCGGTGAAATTAAGGTTTCCTAATATGTAGGGATCGTCTCGCCCAGAGAATTGAGGAAGAAGATGAAGAAGACATAATTTAATTCGAATCGGATGGAGAGGTCGCCTTAATTTGTGTATATGTATTAATGGTGCGTTTAAGACAAATTCTAGTTGGACTAGGATCCGTATTATTTCTGGGTCTAATCATTGATTTTTGCAGGCTTTTAAATAACGTTCAAAACTGGCTTGTACATGATCCACCTAGTCTGTAGATAATAGATGTTGATTTTCCTATTGTCATTAGGTTGTACCTTTGATAATTGTCTATCCCAGTTTTCGGTTCTTTGTTTTACTTGATTTTATATTTTATTTACATCTGTTTCTGCTTCTAAAATCCTGATCATTCCTTGAGTTCACGCAATTTAAGCATAATTATGTATTCCATCTTTTTTTGGGATTTGGTAAATGGTAGCGTGTCTTTTTACACATTTATCGGTACGAGGTAAACAACAATCCGCCAAATTTAACTCTTCATTAATTGCCCCTATTCCACTCTCTCACTGATTGCCCCACTTTATGCATTGCACTCATACATAACAAACCTCTTCTAGACTAATTAGAGGCTTGTGGTTGGATACTTAGTGAGGATTTTTTTTTAATTTATGTTTTGAAACGAAAGTTAGAATTCCACTATTAAAGTTCCTATGTACTTTAGTTGGGAAAGTATTTTCAAAATGTAAAATTTTATCAGCGTATAGGTATACGATTATTGTATAAGGTGTTGATGGTAAAGGAAATGGGTACTGACTAGTTAGGGTATTAGGTTGTTGATGGTTTAGAGTATATGGTATATGGGTAGGTTATAAGGCGTTGATGATTTAGAGCATATGGTATTGATTGGTTAGGGTGAGGGTATGTGTTGTTTTATTTTTCTCAATTTTATATTTTCTTTACATCTGCTTATAAATGCTGATCATGCCTTATTATGAGGAAATTTAGACATAATTATTGTAGCGTGTCTCTTTACACATTTATCAGTACGAGATAAAATGATTTGGTATGTGCAATGTAGGTTCTTATTAACGATTTTGCCTTGTTGGTTATCCTTGTTGGTGATCCCGACCATTAGCGATTCACCATATATGGAATGAAAATTAGTTAAGAGTTCTTAAGTTCATCTTTCTTCATTTATTCTTTAATTTGGACATGCAATCTTTGACGATTCATTGTTTTAGGCATATGGCATATGCTTAGGTAGGGTATAAGGCGTTGATGGTTTAGAGTATATGGTATTGGGTTAGAGTATAAGACCATCTCCATCCCTAAAATTGGTTAGTAATTTCTAAGCGTGGTCCCTGCCGCCACACCATCAATTTTAGCAGTTCTACACTTATCAATTTCTAGTCATCTACATCCCTAAATTATGCTAGCAATTGCCAAAGTGGGTCTCATTTACTATTTCAAAGCTACACAAACACTTATCAATTGAAAAGTTAATAAACAAGAAAAGGCTAAATTACACGTTTGATCACTCAAATTACAAAAATCTTTCACTTTTGCCATCCAAATTACTTTTCTTTCTTATTCACCACTAACTTTACGAATTGTTTCACCGTTAGTCACCAGCCGTCAGTCTCCGTTAGATTCCGTTAACTCCGTCAATTTTCTAATGACATGGCAAACGGAACTGCTGACTAAACCGTTACATTGATGACATGCATATTGAAAAAATAAAAACAAAAATTAATTAACTCCCCATCCATCCTCATCCTCTCGCTCTACACCTCGCGAGCTTCTACCGCCGTGGGCTTCGGCGAGTCAACGATCTCCTACACCCGCGGAAATAGACCTCCGCCTCCCCACATAAAATCGCAATCCCAGAAAAACTCAGAAATATTGCAAACCCCAACTAATCATGTCGACGTTGGCTCACTCGCTGCAAGTGAGTTACTCCTCGCTGCAACCTAGGAAGCGTCGCGCAAAGAATCTTCTTCGGCCGTAGATTGCAGAATCACTCCCTCTTCCATCGCTCGTCGCTCCTTCTACGCCTCGTCAAACTCAAATCCCAGTCTTCCCCTCAATCCAATTCCCTCAACGATGTCTTCTCCAGTCATCCTCCCATCTCCAACTCATTGTACCGGTAATTGAAATCCATTCTAGTGAGGGTTGCAATTAGGGTTTTAGCCAAGAATTCAATTCGTGCAATCTAACCTAGATCCCGTCTCTCTGCTTGCTGCTTCATTTACTCGCGAACATGGGCTCCATTTGGAAAACCTCTATTCTTTTTTGGGCTGACCTGTGCAAACATCTAAGAAGCTCTTTACCACCTCCTCCTTTTGCCACCCAACAACAGATCGAATATATGAGTTTACAAACTTGATTTCTGGCTCTTTCTTTAATTGTGGATTCATTGTGATTTCGTCTGCTACCCACTTCATTTCTAACTGATAGATGAAAGGTCACATATCTAAGTTTATGAGTGACTGGGCCTCCCGAATTGTTAAGTTTCATCGGAGCCGGCGCCATTAGAGATGTAGCGAGCGAGGCTAGGGTTTGAGGGTCGAAGACGCCGTGGACGGCGAGGGAGCGGGCGTAGGGATAGCTGGTTTCCACTCATTGGACTCATATTGATTTTTTATTAGTGTTAACCTCTGATCACTAACAATTACTTAATAACCAAACGGCTAAATTACACATTTGGTCACTCAAATTATACAAATCTTTCACGTTTGCCACTCAAATTACTTTTCTTTCTTATTCGCCACTAACTTTACAAATCGTTTCACCGTTAGTCACCGGCCGTTACACTCCGTTAAATCTGTCCTACGTGGCAGTCAACTATAAAGTTTGACCGTTAACTAAATGATGTGGAAATTAAAAAAATAAAAAAAATAAAATTTATTTTTCCACCTAATCATTCCACTTACTGTGTCTATATGATTTATCATATTAATTATTTAATAAAAATTAATTAATTACAAAAAATTAATTATCCAAAATTTTCCAAGGGATTGCTACTCTCCCTCTTCCTCTAACCGGCGTAGCAGCAGCGCCTCCTCTGCTCTACCCCGTAGCTCTAGAGTCTCAGTTGATTCTCCCGCCGATTACAAGGGAAGGTTAACGTTTTGAATGCATCAAATTCATTGCCACCAAGAGCTGGAAAGAATGTTACATGGGTTTGGTAAAAGTACAACTTTCCTGTGATTGCTTCATTCTCAGGGCAAAAAAGAGAATCTGATGGGGTTTCTTTCTTACCTAACAATTCGTTATTTTCCTACGGATGGCAACAACCATACCAATAATCCTACCTATCTTTACTCTTTCACTAAACAAGTAACCGACAAAAGAACAAGGATACGAGCTTGCCTATTGGACAATCGCTATTCTGTGGCTTGAACAAGCAAAGGTTTCTTCTGGGTTGCATTTGTTATCAGTCTCCCTTGTTTCCAGCTTTTGGTGGCAATGAATTTTATCAGTCTCAGAAGTCACCCTCGATGTTCGCTTCCTTAGCTCGCGTTGGGGTTGGAGAGGGTTCGCCTCTGGCTCTCCCTCTTGTTTTTATTTTTATTTTTCTTTCTGATCCCCTCACCCCCCCCCCCCTCTCCTCGTGTTTCTCAAATCTTTATTCCCCCCTCAATTGGAACGATAGAGAGCTTTACTTCCCATGGGGAAGCAGAAGGAGCCGTGAACAAAATCGGGGTTGTAAGCAGCAGCAGAGCAATGTAGAGTCTTTCGTTGGAGATAAACTGATCTCTAGAGAATAGACTCGCCTCCGACTCGCCTTCTTTCCCAAGGGAAAAATTGGACAATAATTTTTGTAATTAATAAATTTTTATTAAATAATTAATAAGATAAACTATATTTACAGAGTAAGTGAAATGATGAGATGGAAAAATAA